CAGAAAGAGTTGGATACGAAGAAGAAATCGAAAAGCTTTTACGGGAAAAAGCTGCATTGGAGGCTGACGTTTTGAAGTCCAGACAAGAGCGATCGACTTTGAAGCAACAGGTGGAAGAGCTGACACTGCAGGTTGATCAAATGGAGCAGAGGCAGGAGACTTTGTTTAACTTCTTAGAAAAGGCTTTACAAGACCCTTCTTTTGTCGAACACCTTACTCGTAAGATTGAATCTATGGATGATTTTGCTGCATATAATAAGAAAAGAAGACTGCCTGAAAATGATCGAACCAAGCCAGTTGGACAACATAGTCTTTTGGACAACAAAAGCAGTTCTACACCTGAGTTTGGAAATTTTGTCCACCTCGATTTCTCGAACAAGCTAAGACTAGAACTATCATCAACTGTTTCGGATATTAATTTGGTTTCTCAGAGCACACAGAGTTCTAACGAAGATGGAGAAAGTCTGACGAGAAGGAGATCTCAAGGAGAACCAAATGATGTTAATATCAGGCCCGAGGGCATTTCATTCACTCCCGAAACATTAGACCTTTCAGATACGGGCACATCTTTTACATTCAACATGGATTCGTCTTTCACTAAAAGAGTATCAACAAATGAAAGCCCAACAGTGCATTCGCTGCAACAGAGATTAAGTTCCAATGAAGAACCTGATAGTAATATTTCCTGTCAATTGAATCTAACTCTAGCATCTTCGTCATTGCTAGTCAATAAAAGTCCTAGCTTAACAAGGATGTCACAACTAAATTGGGAAGTCGGAAAAGTCCCAGAGTCAAGGTCCAACGCCAACAGTAAGGACACTGATCCCACTCCCAGAGCTTTCGAGAACAGCAGAAACATGATTGATCGGGAAACAACATTGTCTTTGTCAAAAGAAGGCTCTAACAGAAATCAAGAGCCTGCAGCTCCTCCGGTTAGAGTGAATGATGTATTTTGGGAACAGTTCCTCACTGAAAGACCAGGTTCCTCTGACAATGAAGAGGCCAGCTCAAATTATCGAGCAAATCCGTATGAAGAGCAAGAAGACAAAAGGTCAACCCATGGACTAGCCAGGAATCTGAAGAACATTGAGCAGCTTAGTCTATGAGTAGAAAAGTTGTCTTTCCTGGTGACTGGTGAGAAGTCTACAAAGGTATCTTTCATTCCTTTTTTTCTCTTTGTGATATGTATAGTTACTTCATTTATAGGATACAATTTTATATACAACTGCCCAAAATTAGCTTGAATATAATCATGTTGAATTCCATTTGTTAGTGTCATGTTACTATAAGTTCTCAAATTCGAGTGGTGGCAACCTTTTTTCAGTTGTAAAATAGGAAGTTATGTAGCTCTACTTTCTAGTTTTTAAGGTTTCAGTAACTAAGTGACTTTGTTTATCTGCGAAAACGACCTAAACTGCTTTTTCCCCCTATATCAAAACTGTAGTCCACTCTTAAGTGTTTTCAGTGCCTATAACTTTCCTTTTTTGCAAACTGAAACAGAATTGTTGTTTCTGTCTTCTGATGTTCATCTAACAACTTATCCAATACATCTTGGTAATGTTATTTTCTAACATCGGTGTTGAGTTATGACATCGTTTTGTTCATTTCGGCCTATTGTTTCATAGATTGTTCATTAGTTTGTGTAGTGAATGTCATGCGTGATTTTAAGATCTTCTGTCTGTCTCGGACGTCAAGCATTCTTCATCAATGGGGTTTGCCCTCACAAGTCCCATTAATCAATGGATATCGAGAGGTTCATTTTGGTTATATACTTTTATTTATTGAGAATGTTGAGCCCTATTTAAATCCCACATTGCTAATTCTTGATGATGTAAAAAATGTCATTAATGTCATGAAAAATTATTTTTGTCTTATAGATAACAATTTAGAGGTACTTATAGATTTGGTCTAATCAAATTTTATTTAAGGGTTCTTGTAAAAAAAGGCAAATAGTCTCTCCACTGTTACAAAATGGTCATTTGATTATAAAATAGTCCTTTGATTATAGAGTGTTGTTTTCTTGAGTTCTTCAACTATTAAAAGTTACAAAATTGTCACTCAACTATTCATTATGTTTCAGACTCATCCTTTTTCATTAAAGAATTGGTGGTTGTTTAAGCTAGATGTTAACATGATGACTGGGATTTGATAATCATTTGAGACTTTGAGATCACATTTTATCATATCACAGTCAACAAGTTGACGTTCAACTCAAAATATTGTCTATTTTTTAACGAAAAATGATGAGTTTTGAGCATAATGAATAATTGAGTGATTATTTTATAAATTTTAATAGTCGATGAACTCAACAAAACAACACTCTATAGTCTAACTTTTAATAGTTGATAGACTTAATAAAGTAATACCCTATAGTCAGGGACCATTTGCGTTCTTTACCCTTCATTTAACTACTTTGAAATTTTTGAATAAAGCATTGTAGTTTCTCTTAAGTTTTTTTTGGCGTTACTATTTTAAATATTGATTAAGGTTTATTAAATTATTGTATTAGGTTACTATATATTTTTTTGTATTGGACTTTAAGATAGCATTAAATTGGGAGGAGGAGTCTTGTAACTGCACCACTTCAATTCCATGATGAATTAATCAATAATTTAATAAAAAAATGAAAATAATTTCTTAGCTAAGTTCATTAAAATGAGAAATAATATTATATTATTAATTTATATTATATATGTGGCACCTGCAATTATTATGCTACTTATAAGCCAACTGCCAAGCACTCCCAAAATTAAAGGTGTTGACCTAATTCAACTGGCAAATTGAGCACCATCCCAAATAAAAATTACCAATATTTATTCTTGAAATAAATCACAAAGTGTCATATATATATATATTTTTTAAAATAAATAATAAAATGCATATTTTGAGTTTTAAAAATATATTTTCCCATTAATTTACATGAAAATTAAGAAAGAAAGAAATAAAACTCATTTTTCTAATTTCAAAGATGAATTTATCATTTATAATTTATAATCAACGAATTTATTTTGAAACATTTAATTTAATTAAATAAAATTTCAGTCAAATATATTTAAAGATACTATTTTTTTTTTGTATTTGATAAGTTCTAATTTTGTTTGATCGGATAAATGAAAAATTGGTAAATTAAGTGTTAAGTACTTAAACTATCAGTTTTGGTTTGTTTTAGTACTTAAATTTTAAATTTTTCAAAATCATTCCTAAAGTTTAATTTTTATTTTATTTTAGTATTTATGTTCAAAATTTGATGCTATGTTTTAAAAAAATTAAAAATTTAGGTACTAAATGAGTTAAATTTTTAATAGGATACTAAAATGAAATAAAAACTAAATATTAAGTATAGTTTGAAAAAAAAAAGTTTGGATACTCAAATATATTAAAACTAATCATTTAAATACTAAATTCGTAGTTTACCAATAAAAAATTTTATGTTTTGGTTACAAAAATATCCCTTTATTTCAAAGCATAGTGGGATAATTTGGGAGGGAACATAAACATAAGGAAAGCTTGTTCTGTTTCAATGTCTTGTCCTCATTTATCACACCCCTTCATCTACCCTAAACTGTCTTTACTTTCAATACCCCATGAAAGACCCCTAAACTCCAACCTAACTCGTCCAATCCCCAAAAATCCCTAAAAATGGCCCTTCCCAAACTCATATTCACTACTCTTTTTTCTATCCCTCCTTTGCCTCCATACTTATGATGCAGTCTCAGTTCAAGAGCTCCAAGATGCACTGAAATCCAGTGAAGTTGATGCCATGGTAAAAAGGGTTTGCACCAAAAAGCTTGAAGATTGCCTTGGAGAGGAAGAAATGGAGTCCGAGAGCCAAAGGAGGCTGCTTTTGATGCAGAGAAGGTACATTAGTTATGAGACACTGAGGAGGGACATGGTCCCTTGTGAGAAGCCTGGTGCTTCTTATTATGACTGTCATGCTGGTCAAGCTCATCCTTATAGTAGGGGTTGTGAGATTATTACAAGATGTGCTAGAGGGATCCAAGGTGTTGGAACTTAGAACATTAGAAAAAAGACCCAAATTTGATTATTTTTTTTGTAAATGTGACAGCTTTCTGCAAGTGACAAATGGGTTTCTTGAGCTGTTTATGTTGACATTTTTGGGTTATTATTGTATATTTTAGAGATAAACTACCTTGAAACTTCTACGTATAAATGCATGTTTTTTAACTTCAATCTCCAGTACATTTGAGGCTTGCTTGTTAGATTAGATTGGGGGGGGGATAAACTGAGTATTTACTTGCAAAATCTGGGTTTTCAAGATGTTCTATGCTTGAATCAGATGTTTCACTTTTCATGGTTAAAAGTGAAATTCCCCAATAATTGTCTAAAATGTAAGTTTTCTCCACTATTTGTTTTACCTTTTCTGTTGAATAATTCGACTCTTGAGTGGAAAACAGAAGGAAAATGCTGATTTACATTTAAATCTGAGCTGTCCTTTTCTGATGATCAAACTTCAAGGTAAATCCATGGCTTCTCTCAATCCTAACCCTATTTCATTCAATGCATCAATAGTCTCACATGGTTTAGTCTAAGATTATTTGTTTCTTATTTGTATGTGTTATAAGGGTTGTCTGTTAAACCCTATGCCCCGACCGACCTATATTGCCATCACTTCTTTCTCTAGGAAGTTATCCTCTTGATACGCAGCATGTGGGAACTTTTCTTCTCAAGTTCCAGATAGAATTGTCGATTCCATGCGCTGAATAGCAGGCTCTTCATGTATAGTCTCGCTTTCCCGTCTAAGCTCAACCGGATCATCCGCAGTCTCCCTCTCAGACGATTCCCCTGTAAAGAACGTAACAATGTTCATTGATCGCCATTGATATGATTAATCCAACAAGTTGATATGCATGTTAAAACATACCTGGATTTCCGGAACATGTGATTGCCATCGTGTTTCACCATTTTCTGTCACAGCAAGTACAGGGCTTTTGTTTTGAATTAATCCTCCAACCCTTGCTTGGCCAGCCAAGACCAGACTGTTAGGGTCCCCACCTCCTCAGTGTTACACCGATGGACATCTCTGAAAACGATGGTCGAGAAATTAAGAAGTCGGTTTTAAGTCCAGGCAATCTGTGAAGAATCCAGTTCCACTCCTTAAATTTTTTCACTGAGATTGTCATCTGCAGAATTTAAATAAGACATGTAAAAAACCCGAAGACTTGAAAATCTTATCACCAATGGTAATACAAGATTATATGTGCGCACCTTACGGCTCCAATGGTTGAAGTTGTTGCCTACCGTCAACGATCTCAGATACAAACATATACAGTACCAAAAACATGTCACCTGTATGTACCATTATGATCTTGATTCTTGAGTTTGGCAGCCAGGACACTAGGGAGTTTGGCCCTTGCAACGAAACCGAGAGGAAGACGGAAACGATCTTGTCATTCGGATTACTAAACATAAGTCAAACTACCGATGATGTAACTTCTCAAACATAAGCCAAGACACTTACTGCTCATCACGTTTACCAGTTAAGGTACTGCAATGTTATATGATCCTCAGATGAATTCAGCCAAACCCTATCCCATATGAACATTGAAAGTAACTGCAAAATAAAGCATTAGAAACAAAAGTAAATAAGCTTTCAACTTCACAGAAATTCTTGGGAATAAGGGAGAAGGGGCCGAAAATACCTGTTTAACATTGCTGCATCTGTTTCAGTTCCCCCATCTCCCCAACCGGCAATTCCTAATCCGTTTATCATTGTTATGTGAGTCTGTATCAGCAGCATGAGCCGGCTTGAAGAGGATTTCAACTTGCTTCGGAGATGTATTCTCCCAATCAATGATCATTTCAACATCATTCACAATAACTTGAAAGTTATCACAATTTCATATTGCAGATTCCACCCTGCAAGAAGAAAAAAAGGGTCAGGGACCTGAATTCAAAAGAAAATGTACATGCATTGTACTTTACAACAACTATCTTTCAATTAATGCACCTGATGATTTTAAAACATGGATTCTGATGGAGAGCCACCTTGTTCTTCTTCTATTTCTTTTCCATACATTCTGAACTTGTACACCCATTTGTTCCCCAACTCATTCAGCGTTGTATATCCAACACATATACCAACGAACAAACCACTACCATAGCCTACCAAAGCAATTTGCCAACCAGACATAGCATCCAACCATGAATCTTCTTCATCTTCCCCTGAATTAGGTTGCATTTCCTTGACAATGGTGGCCCACATAATTTTGGGTTCCCCTGGTAAGAATCATTTGTAAATGTACTGAATTGGTTGCTTTGTGGTATGCTCCCTTCAAGTTGATTGTAAGACAAATCTAGAGCTGCCAAGAAAGTTAGACTTGCAAGCTGTGGAGGAATCTCCCTAGAGAGCTTGTTCTGTGAGAGATCCAAGGACTCAAGGTCTTTTAGGTTGTCAAGTGCTGATGGGATTTTTCCGGAGAAGCTATTATGGGACAAGTTTAGCACTCTAAGTGACATGAGAACTTGTATTTCTTCTGGTATTCTCCCATGGAAACTGTTGTTGGAGAGGTCAAGACAAGTGAGAATGGTCAAGACTTTCTGATAAAACATTTCAACCCCTTTGTTGACAATTGTCACAGAGTCTTGATAGTACTGCCCTCCAATGTACTCCCTTTGTGCTTTGTCACCATTAGTCATCTGCATCATTGCCTTCAAACTTTGAAAAAATTCAATGCACAAGTCGCCTGAAAAGTTGTTAGAAGCTGTCGAAACGATTTTTTCTTGAAGGTGAAAAACGGTGAGATTTTAAAAACCACATTAATTCTTAATTATCTCTTTCAATTGATTTTTAATTTAAAAACAAATGTGATTTAAAGACCTCTCGTTTCGAAAAATTTTTAGATTTCCTTTACGATCAAAAAAATACAATTCAAAGAGTCGCCACCAATCTTTGATTAGGATGTGATTGGGCACCCAAAAATGATGTCATTTTAAATAAAAGTTAATTTTAATTAAAACAACAAATTGAGGTCTGCGTCACCAAAATCCGAGTTCGGGAGTCGGTTACGTGTGGGGAAGGATTAGCACCCCACAACGCCCTAAATCGGTACCTAGTCGATTAATTAATGTCTTTGCAATGAACTTTACAAATTCGAATTTATTTTGATTTTTGATCTCATAAAACAAAGATATAAATTTAAAAACATTCAAAAGCACTCAAACAAATTAAATTAAAATTACCAAGTCATTTTAGAAAGATAAAGAATTGGAGAAGACGACGAGATTCCTTCTTTTTTATGCTCGAGCAGTATAAGTAAGTCCCAATTCCTTTCAACATTTTAATTTTAAGAACAATCACACATGCATACAACAAAAGAACGAACTGAAAAAAATTAAGAAAATTGGAGAAGAACCCCTAGGAGAAATGTACCTTTATTGCTTTATCTATTTTTGAATTGTATGATTACACTGTGATTTCCTTTCGTATTCTCTCAATACTGCAAAATCGATGATAGTTAATCCAATTTTCTGCTTCCCCCTCGTTTCTGGTAGTTTTCCCCCTTTCTTTGTGTTTTTCGTTGGTTTTCTTTTCACTGTTTTTTTCCTTTTTGATTGTGTTCCCCCCTGTTCTTAATTGTCAATCCAAAAAACTGCCCATACCTCCTCCATTTACAGTTTATTTCCCCCACGTAAAAACTGCACATTTCAGTTTTGATTACCCACGATGAAAAAAATAAAGAAATGGCCTCCCCATTTTCTTTTCTGGTTTTTAACCCCCAAAACTGTTTTCATTTGCAAGTGATATGGGCCCCGGACAAATCAAACATCTACAGCTGCCCCTCTTTGCTTATTGTCGTGTAACGAGAATAGAGCAAAGATTAAAAGATGGTCAAATTTGTCCGGCCATGAGAACTTCAAAAGATTAAAGCACTTTACTGTTACTTCGGGATAAATGAAACTTGAAAAATCTTCAAATGACGAGTCTGCTCCCTATTCCTTCAGGAAGTTTAAGACTCGAACCATCATCATAAAATGTGTCTGCTCTCTATTCATTCAGAGAGTATAAGACTTGAACAATCTTCAATAAAACGGGTCCGCTCTCTATTCCTTCAGAGAGTATAGAACTCGGAAAATCTTCAATAAACAGGTCCGCTCCCTATTCTTTCAGAGAGTATAGGACTCAATCTTTAACAAACGTGTTCGCTCCCTATTCCTTCAGAGAGTATAGAACTCGAGCAATCTTCATAAAACGGGTCCGCTCTCTATTCCTTCAGAGAGTATAGAACTCGAACAATCTTCAATAAACGGGTCCGCTCCCTATTCGTTCAGGGAGTATAGAACTCGAACAATCTTCAACAAAATGGGTCCGCTCTCTATTCCTTCAGAGAGTATAGAACTCGAACAATCTTTATAAAACGGGTCCGCTCCCTATTCGTTCAGGGAGTATAGAACTCGAACAATCTTCAACAAAACGGGTCCGCTCTCTATTCCTTCAGAGAGTATAGAACTCGAACAATCTTCAACGAACTTGTCCGCTCCCTATTCCTTCAGAGAGTATAGGACTCAATCTTCAACAAAACTTGTCCACTCCCTATTCCTTCAGAGAGTATAGGACTCAATCTTCAACGAACTAATTTGCTTCACAACTCTTTCGTGAAGGCTTATAGATGATTTGCTTCAAAGGTCAAACATGAAAATCAAACATTATTCATCATGAATGTATATTTGAAAAATATTATACTAAAAAATTTAGAAGTAGAGAAATTTTTTGAAAATCCATCTCCATCGTGAAAACTTGTCTGGAGCCATTGGATATTTGAATCTGCTTTGACTCAATTTTCGTATAAACATCATTCTTGTCAAAATCTCAAGACCAGTTATCTTCATCTCGATGCTTTCATATCTTCAATCTTCAACTATTCCTGGGAAACCTGTAGATATTTAAGCCATCATGCGATTATGAATGCCATGATCCTACTCATGCCTAAAATGTATGCAATTATGCAATTCAATGCGTTTTCTTCTTTGAAGGAACTCTATCTCCTTTTGATCTCGATGGAACTCGACTTCATCTTGGGCACAGAACGTTTGACCAGTTCACCCCAGTTGATAATCTCAATTCCATATCTCTCGGCTTAACATGACCTTGACTCCTTTCTTTCTTGAAACCCGCCAGTATCCATGACCAACTTCTTGATTAATGGTAACCTCATTGGGTCATCTTTTAATGGCTGAGATTTTCTTTGAATTTGAGGATTTTAGTTTCCTATGGCCACACAAGCTTACATGCTTAAACCATTGTCAACTTCAGAATACCTGCATTTTCCAAAACCTTTTGCACAATAATACAAAATGATCTCATGTACTTCAAGTTAAGCCATATGTTTTGACCTTTCAAAATAAGATGTTTGTAAGAGGGAAATTAACAAGAAACTACATCTCTTTATTTATAAAATGCAGAGAATTTTTAGGTAATTTTATGGCAAACTTTTAACTGGAAACAGTAAAAGAACAAAAGAGTAGGCGTCTTCAAATATCAATAATGCAAATGCTTTTGAACTGGCACGCCGTTAGAATGTCTCGAGTGTAGCTTCTGTCAAAAAGATCTCCAAAATTGTGATGCTTACGAGTATGAAGCTACTTCTAAACTCCCAAATCTCTATCATTGGATGCCCTAAACCAGTATTGAATCTCATATGCATTCAATTTCTCTTGGTTATTTCAATCGAGACTCATTAATCTTTAGTCTCATTCCTGATCACCAACTGTCATTGTTACTATCCATATCAGGAGCTCTTTCCACTTCCAAAATTGATTCAGAACCTTCCACCATGCACGAATTCTGAATTTCAAACTCAACTCAAGTCGCCCTTTGCGGGTTTTCAACTTGAGACCTCATTTGGTTCCAAGACCCCCTTTTCGGGTTTTCATCTTGAACCCTCCTTTTATTTCTTTTTTTTTCTTTTTGTTTTTTATACGTTTTCTTCCCTTTTCCATTTTTTCTTCTTTTTCTTTCTTTTTGTTTTTTCCATCATTTTTCTTTTTTCTCATTTTTCATTTTTTCTCTTTTATTTCTTCTTCAAGCAAAATATCTCTTAACAGCGTCGGAATTCACTGGATATAGTAATTCTGATCCGTCCATTTCAGTTAGGACTAGAGCTCCCCCAGAAAAGGCCTTCTTGACAACATAAGGTCCTTCCCAATTGGGCATCCATTTTCCTCTGAAATCCTTCTGAATAGGCAAAATCCTTTTAAGCACCAAATCTCCCTCATGGAATTCTCGAAGGCGAACTTTCTTACCATGTGCCCGTATCATACGTTTTTGGTACATCTGACCATGACAAATAGCTTTCAATCTCTTTTCTTCAATCAAATTCAACTGGTCATACCTAGCTTGGACCCATTCTGCCTCATCAAGCTTTACCTCTGACAAAATCCGAAGTGATTTTAAAAAGCTTTCTCAAATTCCCAATATGTTCTTCCTCTGTCTTGGCTTTGACGATCATATCATCGACATAAACTTCTATCTCTTTATGTATCATGTCATGAAATAACGTCACCATGGCCCTTTGATATGTTGCCCCAGCATTCTTCAATCCAAACGGCATTACTTTATAGCAAAACGTTCCCCACATGGTAACGAACGTCGTTTTTTCCATATCTTCAGGGTTCATCTTAATTTGATTATAGCCAGAGAAACCATCCATAAAAGAGAACAAAGAATTTCCAGCAGTATTATCCACTAGAGTGTCTATATGTGGCAAAGGAAAATTATCTTTTGGACTAGCTCGGTTGAGATCCCTATAGTCAACACACATTCGAACTTTCCCATCCTTCTTCGGTACTGGGACAATATTAGCTACCCATTCAGGATATTTGGCCACTTTAAGAAACCCGGCATCAAATTGTTTTTTCACTTCCTCTTTAATCTTGAGCAGCATCTCAGGTCTCATTCTTCTCAGTTTTTGCTGTACCGGTTTATATTCAGGCTTTATTGGCAGTTTGTGAACAACCAACTCTGTATCTAAACCCGGCATATCTTCGTATGACCAAGCAAACACATCTTTGTATTCTTGAAGCAATTCTATCAAATCATGTCGACCTCCAACTGACAGAGTGGTACCAATCTTTATTTCTCTCTTATCCTCATCTGTCCCCAAATTCAAAATCTCAGTAGGCTCTGTATGAGGTAGAATCTGCTTATCTTCATTCTCCACCATTTTCAGCAATTCAGAAGGTAATTCACATCCCTCATCATCATCACAATCTTCAATTTCCCCTTGACATATAGGCTTCTCGAAATCAATCTCCGGGTCAGAGTCATTGGCATTCATATTATTGATATTTGAGCTCCTGAAAAAAAATAATGAAAGAGAAGATATATATACATATATACATATGGGAGGATCTTTTCCCATATAAATAAATAGAATGAAATAAATACATACATATATACAACAAAGAATGAATGAATGAAATGAATGGGAAAATGTTTGCCATTTGGAACTAATAGAATGCATCTTTTATTGAAAGCAAGAAAAAACAAACAGCTTAACCCTTTACATAAAATCACCTATTGCCCCAGGGTATGAACAACAGGGAGAAAGTTCCAGTGCATTACTCTGTAAAAGATTTGTAAACTACAGGCAGTTCTTCTGCAGTCCAATTGTTCAACACGAAGCCCGGTGGTGCAGGATAAATGCCCATAGCTCTCATTTCCTCAAATTCATCATCA